CACATTGCTGGCATTCCAGAAATTAACGTTTTCCCTGGAAAGGGAGGCACCAGCTTACATTTGAAAACATTGGAAGCTTTGAGTAAAAAGCCTATGGGTTAGGGTCACTCCTTGGGATTTGGAAGAAACATCTGTTTGCACAGTTAGTTCCACCCTTGACACAGAATGTAGCTGGCCGCTTCTGCAGCTATTCAGTGGTAGGTAAGTGGCAAACTCGGAAGAAGACCTGTGTTGGTTTGTGTGTGTGTGTGTTTAAGGGAACGGTGTTAGAAAAAATGTCTGCTTTGAATGGGCCTCCTCATGTAGCTCTGTGGGTGGGAGTCCTGGGTTTCTTTGGTTATCCAGTCAAATCTGGAACCATTATGGTTTCATTTTGTATATACTGCCACTCTGCTAAGTCAGATACTTTATTCCCTATCTGAGGTGTGGCTTTCTATGTGGCTGAAGCATGGGGTAGGTCTGACCTTTATGAAAACAATAAAACAGGCCATGTGAATACCTAGTATTGCAAAACCAGAATTTGCTGTGGGTTAGACCTACTTAGTATAGACATGGTTTAATGGCCTTGGACCAAGGTTCTTACCTGGAATAACAACATTCCTGGGCGCAACACTGTCTAAAGCACCACAGGAGATCTTTATGATGGGGACAGAGACTAACCCTTTTAGTCAAAGTACACACGTGCACAGGATTATCTTCCATGCGTGTCTGAATTGTTGACAGTTAGTGCTTATTCATATGCCATGGTATCACTTAAAATGGTGCTGGTGAACTGAATGGGCAGAACTGCCTTCTCCTTTAAGTCTCACATCTAACCAGGAGTGGTGCCAAGGCAGTATTTCCCAAGATGTGCTGTGGACCACCCACATCAGAATCACTACTAAATCTGCCTCTCTGGAGGCAGAACTGGGATCTCTAACAACCAGTCAGCTGATTTTTAGGCATTCTTAAGTTAGAGAACACTTTGGGGGAAGCAGGTCACAAGAGCTCAACTATGCCTTTTTTCTTTATCCAGCCTGTTTTACATTGCTGTAACATTCTTCCGTAAGTTCTTAAAACCACATTATCCTTAAATCCTGTTGTCTCCTTTCTTCAAGGAAGTTGACGGTTTGAATTTGGTAGCCTTACACACTGAATAGTTTGTCATCCATTGTGGCCTATTCGTTTATTTATTTCTTCACTCCATTCAGCAAGTATTAAGGGTCTGCTACATGCCGAGCACTGTTTCAGAATACAGCAGTGAACATACAGGCAAAAATAGAAGCTCTTAACCTGGTGAGGAAAAGATGGAAAATGAACTAATAATTGAAAATATATATATAGTATGTCAGATACGTGCTAGGCGAAAGCTGAACAGGGAAGGAATGGTTGCAGTCTTCATTAGGGCAGACAAGAAAACTCACTGTCAGGACAACATTTGAGCGAAGATTTGAAGAAAGTAAAGGAAAGAGAACCATGCATCTACCTGGTGATGAGCATCACAGGCAGAGGAAAGGTGAGTAATAGCCCAAAGGCAAGAACCTAGGAGCATTCCTGGGCCCAGCAGGGAGAAGGGGGCTAGACTGGAATGAATAAAGGTACGGTGGCAGGAGATGAGGTCAGAAGTAGAAGACTAGTGGAGGGGATGGTTGGGGGGCCAGGTTGCGTAGACCCAATCATCTAAGCAATGAAATTTACACGTGCTTTTCCAATTTCAGAATCCTGCCCTGTGTTTCAATCCATATATATCACACTGAGTGTGAATAAAGGAACTGGTTGTTAGCTAAATTCCACAATCTTCATTAATCTCCTTGTCTGCCAACACTGTTTCACAGATCTACAGGGAGTCTTACAGAATACTTTGGTCTCTCGACTTCCGAGTTCTCACTAAATGTTGCAATTTTTTTTTAAATGTGGTATTTGACCCAAAGGAAATTGGCTAATTCTTGATTTGGATTGCAGTAATTAAGGTTATGACATTATGTGAATAATCATGAAATGATTATTTTACCCCGTTTTAGGGATCTTAGGTTCTTTTTTGTTGTTGTTAATCCTACCTGAGGATATTTTTTCCATTGATTTTTTTTTTAGAGGTGGTGGGGAGAGGAAAACATCGATATGAGAGAGACACATTGATTGGTTGCCTCCCGCATTCCCAATGACCCAGGCCAGGGATCGAACCTGTGACCCTTTGGTAAGCAGGTCAATACTCTAAACATTGGCCAGGGCAGGGATCTTAGATTCTTGAAGGAAAAACCTCTAGTCTCCTTATGACTTCTCATTTAGTATTTGGATTATCTGTTATGTGTCCTAGCTTTTTTTTTTTTTTTTAAAGAGAAACCAATACTTACTGAGTTTTATCCTAACCAAGAATGGGTTGTACTTGTATTTAAAAAGTTTTATGTTTGAGACCCAGATTCCATTATCCTCTGTACTCTGTATTTCTGCTATAACATAAACATAAAGAATGGTCACCTTTTGCTTAAGTAAAAGAAATCTGATAACTACCATGTGTATTGCAGTGTAAAGTTAAATCAATACAGCAGTTCTATGGTGAGTATTATACTGCTATTGTAACTGGACAATTAGTACTGTTGCTTGCTTCTGCCATTATATCAGAGGTAAGGAAAGTGGCTCAAAATCATGATTCCGTGATTAGGGGACTAGAACTAGATCATGAACAGGGACTAGAACTCAGGACTGCCGATTGCCAAGTTTTATTTTTCTACCATACCATAGGCCCAATTTAAGGATATAGTTGCTTCTCAGCTTATGATAGGGTTTTGTCTTGATAATTTTTCATGCCAAAAATCTATTTAATACGCCTAATCTACCAAACATCATATGTTAACCTCACCTACCTTAAATATGAACACAATATCCCCAAAATGCTGGCAACACAGTGCACTATAGACTATCCATTATTTACCTGTGACTTGCTGCCACTGCCCAGCAGCATCACGAGAGGGTATCAGTACTGCATATCGCTACCCCAGGAAAAGATCAACGTGTATCATTTTCACACCATCACAAAGTTGAAATATCGAAAGTCAAACCATCATAAATCAGGGACTGTATTTTAAAGAAATTTTGCTTAAGTACTTATATCTTGTTTTCATATTGGGAGCTTCCCCTGGATCAAGGCAATAATTTTGGCAGTATGTCATACCAAGCCTGCTGCTGAAGTACTCCCCTCTGAATTGGCATATGTCAGTAACACTGAAGCATAGAGAGTTGGAGATCATTTAAAGTTCATAAATTTTTCTGTGTCCATATAGCTTCTCTGAGAAATAGACCATTATAGTTGGCAACCCATTTGGGTTTTCCCATAGTGTTAGCAAATGGACTCTTGAACTCTATTGTCTTGGTTTGACTTCCGGTGTAGTTTTTCAGCTGGGCATCCCGCTGGGATGGAAGGGGTGATATAAGAGCCATCAGCCAGTCAACCAGAGTAAGGGGAATAAGAGCAAGAACAATTGTGGATCCATTTCTTATAGGAAGACATTACTGTTTTTGAATAGAATTATTCTTTGTTTTTAGAGTCCTAGGTTGGGTACTAAGGAGTGTTGCCCAAGGATTGCTGGCACTGAGCTCACCCTGTTTGTGTATGGGGCCAGATCTGGTGGGCAGCCTAGGAGTTTGCCTTTACCTAGGGATATAATTCTGCCTGCCACTCCCATCAGCCCAGGGGTGGGCAAACTTTTTGATTCGAGGGCCACAATGGGTTCTTAAACTGTACCGGAGGGCCGGGACAAAAGCATGGATGGAGTGTGAACTAATATAAATTCAAAGTAAACATCATTACATAAAAGGGTACGGCCTTTTTTTTTTTTTTTTTTAGTTTTATTCATTTCAAACGGACCGGATCCAGCCCGCGGGCCGTAGTTTGCCACGGCTGAGTTAGCCCCATCACCCGAACCAGAGTTACAACCAATTATAATGTCTCCTTAGCATGGTTGACCTTAGTGAGAGAAGGTTCTGTGCCTACATTGTCGTTAGCAGCTGTACAGTGGTTTATAGAAATTCCTCATCTGTAAGTCTCTTGTTACTGCCTGTTGTTCATACTTAATTGCTCTGCCAGGCACTTGTGCTCTGGATTTCTCCTTTCTAGACAGCTGTATTAGAAAGAGGGCGCCCTGGCCCATGTGGCTTAGTTGATTGAGCATCATCCTGTGCACTGAACGGTTGTGGTTCGATTCCTGGTCAGGGCACATGCCCAGGTTGTGGGTTCAGGCCCCGGACACGGGAGGCAACTGGTCGATGTTTTTCTCTAAAATCAATTTTAAAACATATTTTTAAAAAATTACTTTAAAAAAGAAGGAATATGACCTACAATGAAAATAAAGAAAAACAAGGATGAAAGGAAGAAAGAATGAATGAATGAAAGAAAGAAAGAAAGAAAGAAAGAGAAAGAAAGGAAGGAAGGACGGAAGGAAGGAAGGAAGGACAAGGAGCAAGCATTAAGTTGAGAATTTCTTCATTTTGGGTGAGAATCTGAGGGCTCTCCTATCACAGACCCTGGCACCTGGTAGTTCCCAGTAGGTAACTGTGGAATGAGCACCAAAAGAAACAGTGGGCTTGCTTATCCCTTTAACAAAAACAGTAACAGCCAACACGGTTGTGCTCACCTGCTTAATTAAGAGCCATGTGAGTGCTATAGAGGTTTGAAAGGTATAATAGATAGTATCTACTCTTGAGGGTCTTGCTCTCTTGTTGGGAGAGACAATTATTCCTAACAATTAACAAATAGTAAGGTAACATTCTGAGCATCAAATAAGAGGTTAAAACACTGAGCTTTAATCTGTTTCATCTTCATTAAAGCCTGGTCTTCTTAACAGGTAGATGTTGGTCATATTTCTTCCCTCCTGGCCTGGCAGACAGTAGAGTGCAGAGTGGGTGTTTATTAACTGAAGGAAGGAAGTCCCCTTCCACCGTGGCCACATTGAACTGGGAGGGACTCATTCTGGTGGACACCTGTTAAGGCAGGCAGTTTATTCAGCAGCACTGTTTTTATCATATTTGGGCTGCCGGAGCGATTATCTCCTAAATGAAATGTAAACCACAGTCCTGGCCATTTCACCTCATAACTCATTAAGATTATTACCTGGCCAGACTGCAAGTTGGGCAATTATTTTCTTCTTAAATTTTCTATATCTTAAATCATTGTCCATAGTTGCCCACGTCTTCCTTAAGCTCTGGGCTCAGCAACTGTAAATGTCCTGCTTTATTGAATTATATGTAAACTGTGTTTATGTGCTGCTGGGAACTTCCAAGGGCTTTTCAGTGCCCATCAAGGTAAGGACTGGCATTCCATGTTCTCCAAATAAGGTACCCAACTTGCCTCCTGATTTTTCTCCTCCTTCCCTTATTGTGGAGGGTGTACACGGAATCTCATTCTCAGTTTATCTGCATTCTTCCCTTTCCTCAATGTCTAACCCTAGCCTCCCCGCCCAGCTGATGTCAGGTTTTGTGGGGAGGAGACCCACTCACAGGGCCCGCTAGCCTGTGCACTCTTACCCACTCATGTGCCTTCATGTGTTTCTCCCTGCCAGTCAGTCTCCCTCTGCCCACCTTCAGGACCCATCTCAAACACTTCTGCATCCTGAGAGCCCCATGGGTTCATTCTCCCTTGAATCCCAGTGGCCCTTTGGGAGCCTCTCCTGTGTTTTCCTTCCTTCTGGCTGATGTGACACCGAACTGAAGGATGCACTCCCTGCGGGCAGAAGCCTGTCCATCCTGGAAGTCTCTGCAGTGGGCAAGGGCTCACTCCCATGGAGAGGACTAAAGAGCAAGCAAACTCGCTAATGCCTTTCCCATCTTGAGATTTGGAAGGATAGGAATTGGTTATTAGGCCTTCCCTTAAGCATTTTTCTTTTTTTCTTCTAACAAAATTGCAAAAACTTCCAGCCACAAATACATTTTAAATTTAATATAAATACAATTATAATAGCTGGCACAGTAAAAGTAAAATAGCAAGTGACATTCATTTTAATAATATATTTTATTTAATGGAATTATGCAAAAATAAGTATGACCGTAGTATATAATTAATATATTAAAAATTACCAATGGCCTTGGCCAGTGGCTCAGTGGTTAGGGTACTGGGTTTGATTTCTGGTGAAGGGCATGCACCTGGGTTGCAGGTTTGTCCATGGGCCACGGCCAGGCATGTGCAAGAGGCAACCAATCAGTACTGATGAGATACTGTGCATTATTATTTCAAGTGCTTGTTAGCCACCTGTGGCTAGTGGCTATCATGTAGGCCAGTGATTGGTTTGATTTCTGGTGAAGGGCATGCACCTGGGTTGCAGGTTTGTCCATGGGCCACGGCCAGGCATGTGCAAGAGGCAACCAATCAGTGTGTATCTCTCACATCAATGTTTCTCTCTTTCGGCAGTGATGGCGAACCTTTTGAGCTCGGTGTGTCAGCATTTTGGAAAACTCTAACTTAACTCTGGTGCCGTGTCACATACAGAAATTTTTTGATATTTGCAACCATAGTAAAACAAGGACTTATATTTTTGATATTTATTTTATATATTTAAATGCCATTTAACAAAGAGTTCAGTACCAAAAAAATGAGTTCACGTGTCACCTCTGACACACGTGTCATAGGTTTGCCATTACTGAGTAGGGCATTGCATAACAGATACACTCTCTCCATCCCACACTTCCATTCCATTTTAATATGACTGAAATTGGGTGCCATCTTAAAGTGGATATCAAGAAACTTGCTTCTTTTCTCTCCCCTCAAAAGCTGCTATTATTAAATCCATGGATTTGTTAATGGAGTCTGAGGAGCAAGGACATGATTTAGTGATGACCATGTTGGTGTGTGGGGCTGTTTACATAGAATAGATTTCCAGAAGTTGGATTGCTGGGACTAGGGGTAAGAGCATCTGGTTTCTTGCTGTGTGTTTCCAAAATGCTTTTCAGGAAGATAGTTTTTGTTCTTCTAACAAAATTGCAAAAACTTCCAGCCACAAATACATTTTAAATTTAATATAAATACAATTATAATAGCTGGCACAGTAAAAGTAAAATAGCAAGTGACATTCATTTTAATAATATATTAATTAATAAAATTTATTTATTTTTTCAAGCAAATTAGTCTTTTGGGTAGTATCTTTTGAAAGTACCAATTTTACCAATACTGGAAATCTTTTTGAAGGAGTGACTAATTGTAGGCAAAGGTAGTAATTTTGTATTTTGTTATTACCTGTGAAATTAAATTCATTTCCACATGTTTATTTATTAGTAATTTTGCTTCTTTGGGTAACTGTGCTCCTGTCCTTCATCATTAAAGTTTGATGGGAACACAGAAGGGAAAAAAAAAGTTTGATGGGAAAGAGTCACCCCTTTGTTTCAAACAGCCAAGGGCATAAGAAGAAAGAATGCAAGTTTTGAAACATGATTTGTGTGTTGACTCCTCAACAGATGCCTGACTCTTGGCTTTAACTAGCCCAGCCGTGGGCACACTACGGCCCGCGGGCCGGATCCGGCCCATTTGAAATGAATAAAACTAAAAAACAAACAAACAAACCAAAAAAAACCATACCCTTTTATGTAATGATGTTTACTTTGAATTTATATTAGTTCACACAAACACTCCATCCATGCTTTTGTCCCGGCCCTCCAGTCCAGTTTAAGAACCCATTGTGGCCCTCGAGTCAAAAAGTTTGCCCACCCCTGAACTAGCCCCTTAAAGATCAGGATAGCTCTGCCTCCCTCTGGTCCTTCAGTTTGGCAGCAGGAAGCCTTGGAGGGGTCACTTGACTGTGATGGCTCTGACCCCACAGCCTGTCTTGTTGGCATTGATGGGGCTTGCATATAGGAATGAATTTAATGCAGACCCAAATTTATTGTACAGATTCCTTAATTTTTGTTTTCAGAAGATAGCTTATTCAAATAGAAAGGTACACGGGCTTTTACATAGTCCTCCCTTTATCTTAATATGTGTAAAAGCTTGTGCAGGTTACGGAAAATAATGATTTTATTTTCTTTAAAATAACTAGTGCAAAGTAAAACAGGTGTCAGTTGGTGAGTCAGTCGTACTTCTTTTTCATTTTCCAGGATATGGCATTTTGGGTCTTGGGGCAACAAGGCAGTTAACATCAACCCGGTAGGACCTGATTTTGACAGTGAAGAGGAAAAAGTGATCAATGTAGCTAAGATCATTGTTTCTCAAGTCAGCATTAGGGCTGCAGGAATGGCAATGGTGTTTCTAATGTTAACAGTCTAGTACCACTCTTTTCCTTGCCTCTCCCAATCTGATTTCGAAGCACCTTGGAGTTCTGCACAAATCCAGGTTACTGTAATAAAATTTACAACTTTAAAAAATGTGTGGAACTCCTCTCATATGAAAAGTTTTGAGAACCATTGCTTTAAACGGGATTTAGTAACCTTGGATGTCATCCTAAGCTTCAGTGTTAACTGCTTTAAGAATCATTTGGGACCGTAAAAAGGTACTAAGTAGAAAGAGACTCTTGGACTTGAGGCCTTTGGTTAACTATGTAGTCAGTTCTTGCTACAATTCATGAAGTCGGTTCACGCTGTTCTCAAGCAGAGGTCTGTCAAAGTGGGTACTCTGGAGGCTGGATTGACCCTTTTGTCTCTTTGTTGCTTGGGCAGGGATACAGATGTACAAGCAGCTGCAGCACATGCAGAAGGGGCAAGAATGTTTTGGGCCTCTTGGACAGACTGGGTCTTCGTCATTGTCCATTCAGTTTTACTCTTCTGGGTAAATGAAACCACAGCTCTATGGGAATTGTCATTTCCCCTCCCCAGAGCCAGGTTCAGGCAGTTCTCTCAAACATTCTTGCATCTTCAGGCTCTTCTTCATTGCTACTTCTCTGTTAGAAGCCTATTTGGGTTTCACATGTCTTTAAAAGAAAAAGAGAAACAGCCTTCCTTCAATGCAGCTATTACTCCAAGCTACTTTTTTCCCCCCATTTCGTTTTCAACCTAATTCTAAAAACTAGTCTTTATCTTTGCTTCACCTTCAACTCACTTTTGCACCCATATCTGTGCAGAGATGATTTACCTAAACTCTCACTCTTCCAACAAAACCATTCTCACTAGGGTCTTCATAGACATCCTTGTGGATAAACTAGGTGATTCTTTTATAGTCCTTTTCCTCCTGCTCAAACTCCTCTTCATAGCAATACTGCCTCTCTAAAACTATGGATGTTTTTTCCAGCACGCCCCCCACCGGGGATCGAGCTGACAGTGTTATCTAAAACTATGGATTTTTTTTATTAGTTTTTATTAGTGTTCCCAAAATATGGATGTTGGAGGCCTGGGTCAAATTCTGACTCTACTGTTTAGTAGTTATGTAACATTAGGTAAGTTGCAGCTCTTGTGTAAATTTCCTCATTTATAAAAGAGAGGAAATAATACATCAGGAGGTTGTGAGGATGCCTGGCACTTAGTAACTACTCAATAAGTATCAGCCATTGTCATTATCATCATCATCATTTGTATCACGTGTGCAACCATGGCTTTGGAACAGTATCTGGCAAGGCTGTCCAGTGTCCTTTTGCATGCTCCCCGTGCTGAAAGGCCTGAGGAGCACTTTGCATTAACTCACACTGTTATGTAGCAGGCCCAGGATCTCTTGAGTCCTCTCAGCTGCAGTTCTTCCTGGCCCAGAGTTGGATCCAAACCACTGAAGAGATCTGTTTCTGCTCAGAAAGGCAGAATAAGAATTAGTGTCTTCTTATTTTAAAAACTAGCAGGAAAAAAATTATTCAGATCCTTACTGGTTATCCAAAGACAAGAGTCGATCTTTGGACATGTTAGCATGCCTTGTTCTATCTGCTCAGTCACACTCACATGGAGATTGCTGACTCAGCTGATTGATCCTGTTATGGAAACTGAAAGCCCAGGGCCATTCCATAGTCCATGCCATAAAGCCAGGGCTCTTGCTGGCTCATAGTACACTGTTCACATAGTATAAAGTCATAAAAGCAAGGAAGGGCCTGCCCACAGCTCAATCCTGTGGCTGGTCACATGATCTTATATGGTTTAGGATGCTGGGAGGAGGGAATTTTGGATGAGTCTAGCATTTTCTGGCTCCAACCTTTTACTTCTTCCCTGGTCTCGATATGTACATGTAAATTTTCAGGAATTCTATATTTTGTTCTTTTAAGATTTGTTTTGTTTGGTTTTTTTGTTGTTGTTGGATTTTACTTCTTGTTGAATAATCTGGGGAGAGTGAAATTAAGTTAATTGAACCATTCTTTGAGACTTGCTGAGGAGTCAGGGACACCCTGAGTGGCCTAGGGTTCTTTTGGAGGGAAGGGGAGATGTGCTATGCTTAGTGTTCTGAAGGCCTTGTGCTGAGTTTATACCAATCCAGCCTTCTTTGGGGACCTCTTGTTCTTAAGACATTCTGTGTTGTTCATTAAAAGTTATCATCCTGAACATTTGCAAGTGTTCCATCATTCATAGATGTTGCTTTTTTCCCCCTTTTCCCAGATTCAAATGAGTAGTTAAATAATAGCTAATGTCGCTTTTTGGGAACTGTTAATTGAAAAAAATAGGCAAATGTGAAGAGAGCCTGCAATGTAAATATGCATAGCAATTAGACGGATCAGTGACGCAGTACATAGAATTTGGAGGGCTAGGTGGGGTCTGAGAGAAATTCTAGTCAGATAAGGAATTGCCACGGAGAGAAATACCATCACAGAGCCCATTAATGACAGAGGCTGGAGTGCACTGTCTCCTGGATTCCTAAGCTCTTCCTTGCCGCTCTGCCACCTATCCGACAGTACTACTTTTAATCCCATATCCAGCATCCAGGGAGGCAGGGTAATTAGTCCTTTCTAATTATGTGTCCTTTTTTTTCTCATTTAATCACCTAATAATTAGCCCTAATAAGAAGTCCCCTTTGGCAGAAATGGGAAACAGCCTCTGAAGTAGGTATGTCAGAGGTACCTACTTGCTAGGGACTCATTCTTCCTACATCAGCTGGCTGACTTAACTAGAGAAATAAAACTGGCTTCGTCTCCATCCTAATGCCTTTGCCTGTGCTCTTCTCCTGGCCCAGAGGGACGCTTTTCTACAAATTCCACCTCAGTCTAACCCAGGGTTCACTATTTCAGGTGTGTGTATGTGTACATACATGTACGTGCACATGCGTGCATGCACACTCAGAGTCAAAGCCCTAATCAGGAGCTATCTTTCCTGTGGCCTTCCTAATCTGCTTAATTCCTAATCTGTACTACACAGGTTACAGTTATTGGTACTGCCCTGTGATTTGTCTGTACAGATACATTTATCTCAACTAGACAGTAAGTAAGCATCAGGGCAGAAGAAACCATGACTAATACATTTGGTTTCCCCACAGTACCTTGCACATAATTCACATCAGATAAAGATGGTCAAATACGAACAGTTTCCTTTTGAGGAAGTTGCCTTAAGGGTGCTATAAGAGGAAAGCAAGCCTGGAAGTTCTAGTACTTGTGAGGACTGCCCAGGCCTCACAAACTTCTCTGATACCCAGCCCAGCCTGAGGTCTATAAATTGAGATTGTCAGGATTTACTTACAAGTGGATTTAGTTTTGCTAGCTGAGTGCGAATGTTTTCTTTGCCCCTTTACCCCTGCTGTGTTCTGGTTACTTAGGACCCAGTGGGGTTGTAATATAGAATTGGTCAAGTTCTGCCCTACCCTGAGTAGCTTTGCTACTTCTCAGCACCCTGGTGGCATGAAGGCCACACTTCAACTACTGGACAGCCCTGCCCTGGCTTAATTTCCCTTGGCTTTGTACCGTCCTTCCAGTTCAGCTGGTTGGCTGAAGGGGATCTTTCAGGCAAGGGTGACCTCCAGGGACAGAGTAACCTGACATCCATTTTACTGGTTCATTAACTTACTCCTCTGACAGTACCTAGGCTGCCGTGGCCGTGGTATAGGTGTGGCTGCTTCCTGAAATGGCCCAATCTCATGCCCTTCCTGTGTTGACATCAAGCTCTGACAACCTTCACGACAGTCTTTTTAGCCCGAAGGTTGAAGTAGTGACACAGCAGCATGGCTTAATTGGAAATAGTTAACAGTCTGAGGATTTGGCTGAAATCTAGGGCCTTGATGATAAACTTCGTACCCACTCCCATCCTGAGCCAGCTCCAGCTGCGATCTTGCTCTTACCTTTCTGGCACGGCCACCTGTGGTCAGGCCCTGGCAGAGAATGAGTGGCATAAGCTCTCAGTTAAGTAGTATTTTCATGTTTTCAGACATAGCCAGGCTGCAGACTCGAAAGCAACATAAAGAACCAAAGGGGATGGGAGGAGTGAGTACAAGTTCAGCAGTTGACGGACCTGAGTTTAAATCCAGGCTCTAGCTGGTGATTTTGAATAAGCCAGTAAACTCTGAGCCTCGGGTTCCTGTGGAGCTACTTCTGAGTGCTGGTGAGGTAAGCCATTTGAAGCACTTGGCACCTTGACTGGCACAAAGAAGACTCTCAGTAGCAATTACTTTGTTTCCTCAGCCTTGTCCCACCTCACCCTCCTGCTTCCCTGCCCCAATGCCGCTGTTGCAGAAACACAGAGTTTCCTCATTGCTTGGACTAGGTCTTTATTTTGTTCCCTTTGCTTTTTCTCGTATTGCAACAGGCATCCCGGGCCCAAATCCTAGACAAAGCCACAGAGTATATCCAGTATATGCGAAGGAAAAACCACACACACCAGCAAGATATTGATGACCTCAAGCGGCAGAATGCCCTTCTGGAGCAGCAAGGTGAGCACCTGAGCCTGTGGGGCAGCTGGCCCTGCTGCGCTATGGCCAGGTCAGGGCTTTGCACCTGGGCCTGCAGAACCAGGACCAGGAGTGTGTGCTCATAAGCAGCCGTGGCCCTGCTTCTGAGTCGCTGAGTGTTAGAGCCATCCTGAGGAAGTACCTGAGCCGCCAGTGAGGGAATAGTGGAGTCTAGGGTTTGACATCTGGAGACTTTTCTGAGCTGATCTCTCCCCTTCTTGGGGCTTAGGTGCTCTGCCTGTAGTAGGAGGCACACCTGGCATCAGGTGTCTGAAAAGAGCTCAGGTCCTTGGATTGGAGTGTGCTGCGTAAGTACCAGAAATCCAGGTATTCAGGGTCAGTGAGCTCTCCCATTGCCAATGGTAGTCCAATCAGGGCAGCCTATGGGCCAGGCCCATGCTGTTCTCCAATGCTCACATCCGCCTTTTCCTACAACCACAGGGGAAAGCGAGAGCTGATCAAGTTCTTTGTTCCTGGGGAATTCACTTCTCTTCCTCCCTCATGGAAGATGCAAGTAAAAAGAAATGCAAGTAACCACTTGGGTTAGAACACCTCAAATAAAATAAAATAATATGAATGGGTTGACCTTGCAGGCTCAAGATGAGCTGAACTGAGGGATGGGCAGAGGGAGGCAGCAGCGGGTTGGTTCCCGGGCTGAGCAGCCTGCATGTAGGGGCTATATGTCAGAAGACCCAGGTATTCTGTGTATTGGTGACTTGCTTCCAAGTGTCCAGCTTGTCTTTCCAAGTGGATCTTGTATAAGAGAGCTAAGCCAAAACTTTTCTTTGGCTGATATATCTTATGTCATCCTTCCCTGCTGTTGTGTGGCCTTCACACCTTTATGGATCCTAGCATTGCCAGGCCAGCTTCTCCATTGTCACTGCACTGTTGGGTCCCACAGAGAGCTCCTGTCTCAACACTGGGCTTCTAAGGCAGGACGGTGACATCACAAGCCTTCTCTTTAGGGTTGAGTGGCATTGCAGAGGAGCTGGCCATGTCCACTGGGCTCCAGGTCTGTCTGGGAAAGGAGGGAGATGAAGTGTGCTGGTGGAACAGCCACCAGAAGAGTTATTTCTGAGCCTCAGGGCCCAGCAAGCCCTTCGGAAGAACAGGCTGGACCCTGACCTGAGACTCAGTTATTCTAGCTTCTCCTCTGTCTCAGAGGCTGTAACCCACTCGCTTGGTTGCTTTTCAGTCCGTGCACTGGAGAAAGCGAGGTCGAGTGCCCAACTGCAGACCAACTACCCTTCCTCAGACAACAGCCTCTACACCAACGCCAAGGGCAGCGCCATCTCTGCCTTCGATGGGGGCTCGGACTCCAGCTCAGAGTCGGAGCCTGAAGAGCCCCAAAGCAGGAAGAAACTCCGGATGGAGGCCAGCTAAGCTCTGCCGGGCAGGCCAGCAATAAAAACTGTCTGTCTCCTCCGTCGTCTCATCCTCCTTTCAGTTCATCCTTAGAACCCTCAGAACCATTTAAGAGACTCTATTTTTTTCCTTTCTCTTTTTTTTTAAAATTTTATTTTTACGTAGAAGCTCTTGGACAACAGCTCTCGTTCTCCTTCCCCACTTCCACTATTTTTTTTTTAATGTTTCCCTTCAGGGATTCCCTGTCCCCACCAGGAATTTTTAAACCAAAACACCCCAACTTGGCAGCTTTTTCTGTGGAGGACAGACGGCCGGCCGGACCTCTGAGCACATGGTGTTCCTGCTTCTCTCAGCCAGCCTCCGGGAGGGCCTCGGGACACTCGTGTGGTGTGGGGGGCGTCAGCAGTGAAGTGGCCGCCAGAGGGTGCTGGGGGTGGGAGGGCAAGGAGGGAGGAGCGGGTGGGGTAGAGGTTTTGTATTGAGGGCCAGTGATGATGTTTTGATATTTATTTCCTGCTACTGAAATTTGAATCTGAGTGAATTGTCCCTATTCCTGATGATGTCGGTATTGCAAAGCGACAGATTCATAAAGTAATGATCAAATCTTCCTTTCTTTCCGTGTGTATTTCTAAGAAATAGAGCCAACTGATTTTTTATGTAAATACCAAGAGCAATTTACCTGGTACTAAACCCGCACCCCAGTGCGGCCCCTTCCCACCCTTGCCCCACGTCCTTTCCGACTGTTCTGGAACCTGTCCCCACGGTGACCCAGCCCTGGTTCTGGCTGCGGTCAGCAGCTCCCAGTGAAGGGTTTTGTGTGTTTAGGCCTCATTTCTTTGTCTTTTTCCTACTCCGTTCCTGGCATTTGCTGATTTCTAGTGTATACTCTGTAGTCTCAGTCCGTGTTTGATTCCATTCCATGGAAATAAAAAGTATGTTGTACATACTGCCGAAGAATTGTCTTGCAAGTTAAGGCTTCCCCCTTTACTATAAGACTATAAATAAAAACTTATTTTATCCTTCTTGGTGGTGGTGTCTTCTTGCCCTTGCAAAGGCCAAGATGCTTAGGAGAAGAGCCCTGTGGAGGCCACTAGGCCTGAGAGAGGAGCAGCGGTCACTTACGTGGCCTTGCAAAACTGAGAGCAACCATACGCCAGAGCAGTTCCCTTTTTATTCTAAAGGCTCAGCTTAGCTTAGCCCAGGCAGGGCAGGGGGTGGATAAACTGGTGGTGGTGGCTTTGCTCATTGGATAGAAGCTTTTATTATTATTTTTAAAATATTTTTATTGATTTCAGAGGGAGAGAGAGAGAAACATCAATGATGAGAGAGAATCATGGGTCAGCTGCCTCCTGCATGCCCCCCATTGGGGACCGAGCCCACAATCTGGGCATGTGCCCTGACCAGGAATCCAACAGTGACTTCCTGGTTCATAGGTCGACGCTCAACCACTGAGCCACACCCGGCTGGGCAGATAGAAGCTTTTAAAGTTCCAACAGGGATGGGGTTATTCGGGGCAGCATTTCTAGACCCAGTTCCTGCTAAATAAATGACCCTTAGGGAGTTGGTAGCCGAGCTGTGGGTTTGGGTTTCTCCTGGTAATGAATGCCCACTTCAAAGGTGACCCATGCACTCTAGGACCTGTCAGTTTCTAGCGGTTCCAACATAGTTAGAGGAAGCAGCAGAGCTGGCAAGGGCTGGAAGTAAAGGAGGCTTCAACAGCATCAAGTGAGGGACCAACACCAGCCCGAACTTGTTTGACCTTGAAAGGAAGAGGGTTTCTGGCCAGGACACAGCTCAGCTTTGGTTTTCCTGTCTAGCTGGCAGGAAATATTGCTGTACCTAGACCAGGAGAGTGAAGTCAAATCAGTTCTTCGCTTTGTCACTTTTCAGAATGGTAGTGCTGGACCCCTGTCAGTGGGATTTCAGATCCACAGTATCTCTTTGGTTAATGGGAGTTACAGGTGGGTCATGATTCTACAAGAGGCAGATCGTAACGATCAAACTCTCTCCGCCCAACCATGATTGCAATAGGGGAAGCAAGGATGTTGGGAGCACAATCCCATTTATTAAAGGCACTCCATTTCAAGACAAATGAAACAGGAATAAAACAAATGGAATGAGAAGTCAGATGATTTCTTAATCCCTCCAAGTTAGCATGCTCTCCTCCTCTTTTTCATTGCTTTTTACTATATCTCTTTGCATGTCTGGCCGTAATTATAAACTCCACATCGCACACAGCTGGCTTGGTCAGTGTAGGCATTAGAACCGACTGCAGGTTCTAAGCCGGGGATGAGATGCAAGGAGTGTGGAGCTGGGCGCCCGGTAGTCAGGGAGCCAGCACAGGGATAGGCAGTGTCCCTGAGAGCAAGCTCCTGGCTCCAGCATATTGGCTGGACAAGGGGTTACATTTTAGGCTTCTCAAAATTTCAAAAAACCTGTTGGAAGAAGAGCCACAACGGGTAGCTGACTCACCTGGGAAATCGGAAGCCCTTGACTGACTTGCTGAGCAGACTGGCGAGTGGTGGGGAAAGGTGGTACCACTGGGAGCAGCTGCCTGGAAAGAAACAAGGTAAGAAACCCGAGCTAGAGATCGTGCTTTCTACAGGGGACTAGTGAAAGTCACAGCCATGCTTCTGGTGTGTGTGTCCAGGGAACCAGTGTCTGCCCACCAGGACAGCGACGTCTGATCGTGGTTTACTCTCTGACAGCGTGTTCTTCTCTGGTTTGTTCTCGCTATTGCGCTCTGGACAGTCCCATGCAATGCCAGAGAACCTGGTGATTCCCTGGGTAACCGCAGCAGGTGGCGTCACTGAGGGTCCTGTTAAAAGCCCTGTCTTTTTCTTAGGGTGAACTTAATGTTTTCCTATTTTTACAATTAATTGCCCCAAGTAAAAGGGTTTTTTAAATGGCTTAGCTTTAAAAAAAAAAAAAAAAGCAAAAGAGAGAACTCATGGACATGGACAACAGTGTCATGTTAGTGCAGTGATGGCGAACCTCTGACATGCGTGTCAGAGGTGACACGCAAACTCACTTTTTTGGTTGACTTTTCTTTGTTAAATGGCATTTAATATATAAAATAAATATCAAAAATATAAATCTTTGTTTTACTATGGTTGCAAATATCAAAAAATTTCTATATGTGACACGGCACCAGAGTTAAGTTAGGGTTTTCCAAAATGCTGACATGCCGAGCTCAAAAGGTTCGCCATCACTGTGTTAGTGAGTGGGGGAGGGAAGGGTAGGGGAGTAAGAGGACATAGAGGGGATAAATGGTGGTGGAAAAAATAAAATAAATGGCCCAGTTTTTAAATTCTTGACATGCTTATCCCATATGTAGAGGAGCTACAACTTCTGCAAAGAGTTCCCTCAGCTCACAGAGCTGTCCTGGCTGGAAAGGTTTAAAGCACAAGACTGAATAGATGCTAGAACAGAGTAGTGTTTGGTGATGGCCTGAAGTCAGATTGCCCGAGTTCAAAGTCCC